AGCATTCCAAAGGATTTTGAAGTATGGGTTGTATTCATGTGACTTTCTTGAAATAACTAGGCTCTAACCAAAGTGGCATAAGTAATCATCTCTTAATACATGCATGTATGTAAGACATAAAACAATATTAAGATGGAGTCAAAGCTAATCTGACAGGTAAATACTTGTGTTTACCATGAAGAATAATCATTTGTTAGCTGGAGGAGTGATTATGTGGATCTTTCATTCTCAAAGCTTTGAGCTTCCTATTTAGAATTTGTGAATATTTGGAATTCAGGCCTGTTATTACTGACTGATGGGAACCAACTTTAGAGCTAAGGATAGAAGTAATTGATAGGATATGAATTAATGAAAGAAATATGCTCTTTGTTAATTTCATTTACCCCCTAATAACCTTCATACTTACCAGGCAAATGACTTTGGAGTTAGGTTAAAATTTAGCTGTATTGGTCAGATGATGATTTGTGTACCATTGTTCGCACTGCCGATTTTTTCATATATTTGTTACTTTTTAGAATTTTGATCATTTATGTGAGGATCTATGTGATCCAGGCTCATGATTCACACACACATATATATACCAGCTTGTATTTATCAAAGTTTATAGACCAACAAATGCCTAGCTATGATTGGTGAAACATTTAGAATGCTATTTCCAATCTTAGCTGGCTTTCTTAATGAGCTTGGGCTTTATCTGGGACTGATTGCTTTATTAAATAGCATCTTCAACCTAAAGAAGTGAACTTGTAAAGGAAATCTTTGCACAGCATGTTTTGCTTGCTTTCCCTCTCATCTGTCCTTGGGTCTCTCCAGCTTCTTTAGTGGTATTTTTTTTACCCTGAACTGAATCCCTGTGACAGTATATAGCTAAGAAGCCAGGGCTGGGAGAGCTGTGGCAAGGTTGAAAGCCTAAGTTTTAGAGGATACTCAGGGGAATGTGCTTGGCCTGGGGAAGCCATGGGGAGCACCATGGGACCATAGGTCCATAGTACTGGGAGGTCAGAGTAGATAAACGGGTGGAAGTAGACAGCAGGGAGAAGTCAGGACACAGGAATATTGGGGTTTGGTGGAAGTGATGTGAGACGACAGCACTAAAGGAAAGAGTAAGGAAAAGTCCAGGTCACATCAGGAATCCATCACTGTGCAGCAGACTTGGGACGTCAGAGGGTCTTTGGTGTTTCAGTGCATAGTGTGCTCTAGCCAAGAAGCTTCTTAGGCGTTTCCTGTCAGGTTGGGCACCAGGCCCTGGGTATGGGCCCCGAGAGCCCACTTGTAAAAGCAGGTCGTGGGTGTGTCTGTCGGGAAGGGAAGGGGAGGTGGCCTGGGCGAGTCCTGACACCCAAGGAGAGAGGTTAAGGATATGTGTCAGCAGGCTAATTAGCGTTGTGCTGAGCTGTGGATTCCGTGACTCACAGGCCTTGCTGTAACACACCCTCTTCCAGGCAGTGACACTGCCCGGCCAGGGCTGCGAATGAGTGAGGGCTCTTATTATGTCCGCTCCATTCCAGAAGATCAACAAACTTTCTACCTCTGTGGGTTATTATAGCTCTGTTCTCACCTTTCTCTGCCCATTGACCCATGAGGCGGTGTAGAGGAGCTTACAACTATAAAGAGGGCAAAGATGCTTCAATTTAACAGTGGCTAAATTCCTTGCATTCTGTATAAAAACCTCTGTTCTCTTTTAAAAAGATTTTTCATAACAACAAAAAAGTAGGTCTGTTTGCAAAGGAATATGGTTGAAAATTAATATAAATGACAACAAATTTTGAGAAGAATATACTTTGTGCCCATGTACATAGATTTTCCATATATTGCTTACACACATTTAGATATGTAAGAAATACTTGGAGGCATGCATGTAGTACAGGTACGTATACACATGTGTAAATTTATATGGCTTAGGAATTTCAGCGAATTAGATTTCAATTAGTTTTAACTCAGTAAAAGTCATTAGAACAAGATTACTTTGTCTACTTTTATTTTTATTTATATTATGAAATTAGATCAATTTACGGGGGGGAAGAACTACTTAACTATAAAATCCCATTTATATCTTTTTTAGACTCACTTCTGATCATGTGTCTATTTGTCAGTCAGTATATTAGTTTTTAACTTAAACGATTTCATATATATACATTTACATGTAATAATTTAGTAATATGATTCACTTAGTGTTTATTTTTAATAGCTTTATTGTAGGGTGATATAATATTTTGATAATAATTCTCTTATTGTTGATTGGGTCAATGGTATTTTTTATTTTTTAATTATTGAAAATATCATTGACATGAACATTTCTTAACAAAGTATTTTTGGATCATTTCCTTGGGGCATTTTCCCCAAAGTGAGATTAACAAGTCAAAGGGCAGTAACAATTTTATGGCTTCTGTTGGATATTGCCAAATTGTTTTCCAGAAGGATTGAGCTAATTTGCCCCACCACCAACAGTGTATAAAGCACAGTTTCAATTCTAGACAGTTTAGACAGTCTGAGCACATGAGAAGTATAATTACATTTCTACCCCGAGGCCCACCTGTATAGATAGCTCTCATAACTAAACTCAATATGTGGACTTTGAAATTATAGAACCAACAAAGTGTGTTGCTAATTTATTCTTCAGAATGTGGAGCCCTAAAGTCAGAGCTTTTGGGGCTGGAGAACATGCATGTCGAGGTGGAGACCCCTTTTGGACAAGTGCAGTACTGTGGTCCTGTGTGGTGTGAAGTTGGCAAGGCCAGAGCAGAGGGAAAGACTAGCCAGGCCCTAGCATTTCTGCCAGTGAGGTCGTCAGGCCTCAGAGGAATTCTGAAGGACTTCTGGGAGGTTGGGGGATCCTGGGGGGGTGGGGTGGGGTGAGATTTTGGAGTCTGGCATACGGCAAAGGAGAGGGGACGTCCAGTGAAGACACCAAGGACACCACTCACTGAGCCATGTACCACCCAGGTAGCTGCTAACTGAAGGCCTTTCTCATTGCAAATGTCAAGTCGGGTGTTGGAATGATTTTTTTCCTTTGTGATAGCATTATTAATTGTATAATGGAGGTTGATAGAGATTACAGATTCTGTAGAGATCTAGTCATTCTGTAAGGATACACTTGACTGGTCTGTAAAGGCTCCATTGCCTTGTTTCTGACAGGGGAAAAACTTAAACCTTTCCCCGAGAAATAAATTTTTCTCATTGCTCATGCATGCTGACATAGCATTGTATCTTTGCCAGCTTCCCCAGTGACTTGCAAAAATTCTTTAACCTAAATATAGAACATGTAACAGCATGTTATAGAACTGGGTCAGGAGGGTACTGCAAAAGACAAACATAATCCCCATAGCATGCAGTTTAGGAAGGCAGAAGGGAACAAAGATAAAGTCATTGATAAGGCTTTGGGTTGTCTAAAAATTATGTGTATACATTTTAAAGGAAGTAGATTGAGTGGGATATTATAAAAATTCTAAGTCAGACAGTTACATGGGAGTTGGGATAAATTTTTTTAAAAGATTTATTTATTTATTAATTCATGATAGACATAAAGAGAGAGAGAGAGAGAGAGAGAGGCAGAGACATAGGCAGAGGGAGAAGAAGGCTCCATGCAGGGAACCTGATGCGGGACTCGATCCTGGATCTCCATGATCATGCCCTGAGCCTAAGGCAGACGCTTTAACCGCTGAGCAACCCAGGCATCCCAAGGATAAAAGAATTCTTTTAATTTCTAGGTCCCAAAGTAGAAGTAAGTCTTGACAGGTGGAGAGAGGTAGGAAGCATTCATTAGCCAGCAGTGGTAAGGGAGAGAAACACCAGGGCTGTCACATGACCTAATTGGAGCTTCACTTATATTTTACCATCAATCAATTTTTGCTTTTGGTGGTAAAACATGTATAACAAAGATTGCCATCATAACCTTTTCTAAATGTACAGTTCAATGCCATTAGCTACTTTTACAGTGTTGTGCAACCATCACCACTGTTTCCAAAACTTTTTTATCACCTCAAACAGAAACTTGCTATGTTAGGGATTTATTTTGTTAATTGGTCATTTCAGAGCTTTTTCTGGTTTCAAACAACACAAGGTTCAAAATCTTCATTTAAAAATTTTTTTAATTATTTTTTTTTTTTAGTTGCAGCATATGCCATAGGCTAAATTCTGCTAGGTATGTGTCTGTTGTTCATCGGTTTCCTTTCATCCCTCCTAAACTTGCATGGTTGGTGGAAGAGGGTGCCCATCCAAGTAGAGGAGGGAGGAATGTTCTGTCGAGGGCATTGAGGAGCTGTGTTTCCCTGTTGGAACCTCCGAATCAACTGTATTTGTAGAAGAACATGCACAGGCAGTCTTACTTTACTTCATGTATTTTAAAATTAAAAAGCAATATTCTTGACAGTTCAGAAAAAGAATTGAGGACTTGTCATCACTTTGAATGCAAAAATGACTATTGACATAGTTGGTAACGATGGATCTAAAAATATATAAATGACTTTTCATCTATTGTATCACAATTTTTCATTTTGCTCAATAGTTCTCATAATAATAGGCTTATGAATGGATGTAGCTTAATTTTTATAACCATACTATCATCTTTGACATTTAGATTGCCAAAATTGATAACTTTTCTAAATGAGCACCTTCAAACATATGCTTTCTGTAGTTTAACTGCTTCATTTTATTCTCATGAGAGAGACACACAGTGTTCATATTTATCTTTTCTCTTTTAAAATTTTATTTATTTATTTGAGAGAGAGTGTGAAAGACCACAAGCAGGGGGGAGGGGCAGAGGGAGAGGAACAAGCAGACACCCTGCCAAGCAGGGAGCCCAATGCAGGGCTCAACCCTGGGATCATGACCTGAGCTGAAGTCAGATGCTTAACTGAACCATCCAGGTGCCCCTTCATTATTTACCTTACTGTGGCCATGGCTTCTGCATTTTCCATGAAGGTATGACACAGTCAGTGGTGGTGTGTTTTTGTAATTATGGTAAACAATAGATAGATGACAGATGTTGGAATTGGTTACAGGTTGTGAAGATCTTAGAGAAGCATGACCCCTTGAAGAACACCCAGGCAAAATATGGATCCATCCCTCCAGATGAGGCCAGTGCTGTACAGAATTATGTAGAACACATGCTCTTCTTGCTCATTGAAGAGCAAGCCAAGGATGCTGCGATGGGGCCAATTCTGGAGTTTGTGGTCTCAGAGAACATCATGGAGAAACTCTTCCTTTGGAGTTTGCGGAGGGAATTTACCGACGAGACTAAAATGGAGCAGCTAAAGATGTATGAGATGTTGGTCACGCAGTCACACCAGCCTCTGCTGCACCACAAACCCATCCTAAAGCCCCTGATGATGTTGCTGAGCTCTTGTTCGGGAACAACCACCCCCGCTGTGGAGGGAAAGTTGGTTGTCCTGCTCAATCAGCTTTGTTCCATCCTGGCCAAAGATCCATCAATTCTGGAACTCTTCTTCCACACTAGTGAGGACCAAGGGGCAGCCAACTTCCTCATCTTCTCCCTTCTGATTCCCTTCATTCACCGAGAGGGGACAGTAGGGCAGCAGGCCCGAGATGCTTTGCTGTTCATCATGTCTCTGTCTGCTGAGAACAACATGGTGGCCCGTCACATCGTGGAGAACACCTACTTTTGTCCAGTAAGTCCCTCTCATTGGTGTGCCTGCCACCCACTCTTTTCCTCTACTGTGCTACTGGTAAATTTTTTTTTTTTAATTCCTTTCTTTTCAGCAAGTTGTACTTGGCACCTTCTAAGGAAAGATGCTTGGAGGAAATCTTTTGGAGGGAGCAGAGAAATCTTAAGTTGAGATGCTATTTGGCTGAGCATTGTCAGCTCAAAACAAGCCAGCAGAGGAAACTATATGTGTTGCCACTTCTTGTGTCATTTCTGTTGAGTTAGGAACTATTTTAGTTTTTTTATAAGAGCACATCCTGAGTGACTGGTAAGACCTGCACTTTCTATATTCTTAGCTTTTCAAGTTGATTTCGCACCATAGAATCGTGGTGTGTAGTGAGCCTGCTCAGCTCGTTTCACAAATTAATTTGTTTCTCAGCAAGATAATGACCATAATTGTAGATACAATGTGCTGGTTTTATTTTTAAAAATAAATATGTATTTACAGTTTGAGGGAGCAGGAATCTGCTCATTGGCATGGTGAGAAGGAAAGTATGAGGTCCTTTGCAGATGTTGCACTGGTCCAACCACAGTCACACGTCTGGGACCCTGAAGATTCTTTAGGGCTCTGATTTTTTTTTTTTTTTTTTTTTTTTTTTTTTGTAGTCAGTGTTTGTCGGAGATGTTGGGCAACAGCTCTTTCTGTGTTCCCAGCTCAGTGAACACTTCTGGTCTATTTCCATTGTCTGTTCTTTTTACTGGTCACCTCATTACACTTCTTGATAAACTATATTGTATTAAGTATGCCTGATTCTGCTGGAATAGTAAGACCATTAATGAATTTTATTGGAACAGGCCAGGCAAGTTGCCATAAATAGATTAGATTCATTATTAACGAATGCTATATGTTTTATTTTATTTATATTATATTATATTATATTATATATTATATTTATTATATTATTTTATGGGTGGTTCTTGACCAGGGGAGAGGGCAATGAGGAATGTCTTTGGGGCACGCTTTGCTATCATAGGGACATGAGGTGGCCGGGGAGGGAGGTCAACTGGAATTTAGTGTGTAGGGGCCAGGGATGCTTCATGTCTGATAGTTTGTGGAACATTCTTGCATAGTAAAAAACTGACTTGCCCAAAATGCTAATAGCAACTCTAGTGAATAATGCACTATGTTTGGTTTGAGGTTCAAAAGCAGTAATCTTCTTTATGCTACTAAATTCTTATTTTTGCTGGTGAATATTTATTTGGGAGCAAACAAATGGGTAAAAATTTTGAAAACTAGAACTTCAGTGAAGAAATTCTGGGTACCATGTGCCTCTTCTGGGTTCTGATGAGTGGAATTAGAAATTGTACAAAGATTGATAGTCAGATGGAAAGTAAAGAGTTGATCCCCTTCATCTCAGCCAACGTATTAAATGTCCCTTTCTTATTGCCTTCAATAGTGCACTTTCTTATGAATTCTTTTTCAAGAATATGTCATAGGTAAGAATGGGACTTCTTGCTAAATCTAAGCATCTTTGGAGTACATTGCTGTATTATTTTTCTCTTTCTGCTGCAACAAATTACCAAAACCTGGTGGCTTTATGTAAGACAGATTCATTATCTTACAGTAGGTTAGAAGTCCCTCAGGTCTCACTGAGCTGAAATCGAGACGTCAGCAATGCTGTGTGCTCCTCTCTGGAGGCTCTCGTGGTGAGTGCATCTCCTTGCCTTCTCCAGCTTCTAGAGGCCTCCCTCATCCCTGGACTCATGGCCCCTTCCTCCCCTTCCGTGATCAGCAGTATGACAACTCTCTGACCATCCTTTTGTACTCACGCCTCTGCCTGAATGTGCTCTGTTGCCTCTCTCTTCCACTTTTAAGGACCTTTGTGATCACATTGGGTTTACCTGGATCATCTGGGATAATCTCTTTATTTAACGGTCAGCTGACAAGCAACTTTAATTCCCCTTTGCCATGTAACCTAACATATTCACAGGTTCAGGGATTAGGAACAGACAGTGTGGGTGTGTGTGTGTGGGGGGGCGGGCACTAGTCTGCCTACTATACTTGCTATATCCACTGCAGAGAGCTCTTGAAGAAACTTGAGCCATAACACAGTAGAACCAGGATTCTTTTAGGAGTTGAATCTGATTGTGTAGGATGGGTGAGTTTGCTCACGACGGGGAGACGCGCAGGGGGTCGGGAGTTACATTAGGGTCTAGAAACAAGAGTGATAGGGATGAGAATGGAAGGGAGGGGCTGGATATGAGCAATGCTGTGGAGGCAGAAGCTTACTAAAATCAGTTTTGTTAGGGAGCTCTACAGAGGTTTGAGTTTGGGCTTATTTGAATTGTTTTGGATAGTTCTGTTAAAGGAGTGCAGTTGTCGAAATAAATAATCAAAATATTCGGGTGGTTCTCCTGCTCAGTATGCAAAAGGCAATTAGAAAAGATGTCATTTACAATGGCAACACAATTCTAAGGTATCTTGAATAAACCTAACAAATATATGAAAGACCTTTACAGAGGAAGTTATAAAATCTTACTGAGGGACATGAAAGAAGACCTAAATGAATGGAAAGCTGTTTAGTTTATAGGTATCATGTGGATGACACTTCCCTGCAGATCAGTCCATAAAGTTAATGCTATATATGTTTTACGACTTTTTATTCTGGGAGAGAAAAAGTAACATACAGAAAACTTGGAAGAATACTGAAATGAATACCATATACCCACCACTAACATTCAAGATTGTTACTATTTGTGTTTATCATCTACGCTTTTTCTTGGTGCTGTACCATTTGAAGTGAAGATACAGACATTTGGAATTAAGTCACAGACATCAAGTACTTCAGTATGTGTCTCTTACAAACATGAACACTCCTACATAATCATACCATTATTACACCTCAGAAAATTACATAATAATTCCATGATATGATCTAATATCTAGTTTCTCAGTCGTGCCCCTAGTGATTTTTATAGTTTTTTTTTTCCAAACCATAGTCCAATACAAGGTACGTTTCTGACTATCAAATCTCTAAGTAACTACTGATCTATAACAGCCTGCCACTTTCTTCCTCCATGGCACTGACTTTTTTAACAAAGCAGCTATTGTCTTGTCAAACGCCCCACCTACTCTCGGTTTGCTTCTCATGTGGTTTTACTTGTCTCTACCCCCCGGTATATCCTGCAAATTGGAAATTTGGTTTAAGTGCTTGATTAAATTCAGGTTTGAGTTTGTAAGACTCTTTTATAGGTGACGTGGTACACTTCATTATGAGCATTATGTGATGCTGTTAGCTTGTCTCACTTTTGTGATGCTACACTTGCTCACCTGATTGGTTTAGGTGATGACCACTATATCTCTCCACATAAAGATACCATTTTCCCTTTACAGTTGTAAGGTGTAATTTATAAGGTGTTAATGTGAATTAAATCAAAATCCCAATAGGTTTCTTCATGAAACACGACAAATCAATGCTAAAAATCATATAAATGTATGTAAAAGACCAGGAATCACAGATAATTATGAATAATAGTAATAGTAATATATTTGTTGAGAATGTACTATATGCCCGATACCATTCTTAGTGCTTTACCTGTAATAAATCATCTCATCCTCACAACTGTAGGTACGAGTGTTATACCCTTTTCATAGATAAAGAAATTGAGGCACAGTGATATTGAGTAAATCTATACAAGGGCACATGGCTAGTAAGAGATAAAATCAGGATCTGGACCTGGGCAGCCTGGCTCAAGGACCCATGTGCTAACCACCACTTTGTACATTGGTAATAAAATATCAAGGTATCCTATAACACATGAACCATAAAGAAATGACTGGAATTAAGAACAGAAACACGGATTGGGAGAAGATAGTTGCAACATACATAACTATAGATGGTTGGTACCCAAAGTACATAGAACTATTTGTAATGCTACAAATTAATAAGCTAATGATGAAGCAACCCATTAGAAAACCGGGCAAAGGATAAGAATGGACAATTCCCAGAAGACGCCCAAAGCCAATAAACATGAAAATGTGCTCATCTTTGCTAGATCGGGAAGTGCAGATTGAACCCACAGTGGGACACCAGATAATGCTCATCAGGGTGGCTAACTGTTGGGTCTCTGATAACACCAATAGTTGTCAAGGGCGAGGAAAAACAGGAACTCGTGAGTATATAAAGTGGTATGATAACTCAGGAAAGCTATGACAGTTGGCAATTTTTAATACAATGGAATAGGATCCTGCATCTTCATTTCTAGATGTTTGCTCTAGGGAAATTTGGCACATGTTTACAAGGATACACACAAAAAGATTCAATAAAATAGTGATTTGAGGAAGAGCAGAATAGAAATATATTAAAGATATATGAACTAGCTCATTCTATACCAGTGGAATAACTACTCAGGATTCAAAATGAATTATCAGGGATGCCTGGGTGGCTCAGTGGTTGAGCACCTGCCTTCAGCCCAGGGCATGATCCTGAAGTCCCAGGATCAAGTCCCACATCAGGCTTCCTGCATGGAGCCTGTTTCTCTCCCTGCTTATATCTCTGCCTCTCTCTCTCTCTGTCTCTCATAAATAAGTAAATAAAACCTTTAAAAAAACCCCAATGAATTATCACATATACTAATTAGCATGTAACTACATCTACATCTATGAACACCAATAATCTAAAAACATGTTGAATAGAAAAAGTAGCAAAAGGTTTCATACAGTATATTAGTATTTATATAAATTTACATATAGTTTTAACTCACAAAATCTTAGTGTATACTGTTTTTTTTTTGGACACATATATACAGCAAAAGTACAAAACCATGCACAGGAATAATATGCACTAAGGTCAATGAAGGAAGGAGAAGAGACGGTAATGAGATTGGAGAAGGGTTTAGCTCTATTTGTAATGTGCTTTTATTTTTTTTGGAAAAAAAGAGTACTCCAAAGAAATTATGGCAAATTATTAAAATCTATTAAATCTCGGAGGTTTTCCATTCTGTTTTATATGTTTCATACATCAA